AAAAGCACCTGTTCAAATTTGCTGATGATACTAAGATGTGGGGGGATGTGGGCACGCTAGAAGGGAGGAATAGGCTGCAATCGGACCTAGACAGGTTACAGGGGTGGGCGGATGAGAATAGGATGGGATTCAACACTGAGAAGTGCAAAGTGATGCACCTGGGGAGGAACAACTGGCACCATACCTACTGGTTGGGGAACTCTATTCTTGTCAGTACAGAGGCGGAAAAGGATCTTGCAGTCATTGTTGACTCCAAGATGAACGTGGGCTGGCAGTGTGGCAACGTGGTCAGGAAGGCCAGCTGCACCTTGTCATACATCCACAGATGCATCTCGAGCAGGTCCAAGGAGGTGATCCTCCCCCTCTGTGCGGCACTGGTCAGGCCGCAGCTGGAGTGCTGCGTCCAGTTCTGGGCGCCGCACTTCAGGAGGGATGTGGACAACATGGAGAGGGTCCAGAGGAGGCCACTTGCATGGTCAGGGGGCAGCAGGGCAGGTCCTACGAGGAGAGGCGACGGCACCTGAACCTGTTCAGCCTCCGCAAGAGAAGGCTGAGGGGGGATCTAGTGGCCTGTTACAAACTAGTTAGGGGGGGATCAGCAGGCACTGGGGAAGCAGTGACCAGGAATAAAGGTCACAAGCTGGCAGAGGGTAGATTTAGGCTAGACATCAGGAGGCGTGACTTCACGGTGAGGGCGGCTAGGATCTGGAACCAACTTCCAAGAGAAGTGGTGCTGGCTCCTACCCTGGGGGTCTTTAAGAGGAGGCTAGATGTACACCTTGCTGGGGTTATTTGACCCCAGTACTCTTTCCTGCCATGGCAAGGGGTCGGACTAGATGATCTACTCAGGTCCCTTCCAACCCTAGAAACTATGAAACTATAAAGACAAGGAGCAATGGGCTCAAGTTGCAGCAAGGGAAGTTGAGGCTGGATATTAGGGGAAAACTCTCTCACTAGGAGGGTGGTGAAACCTGTTCCAGTGCTACCCAGAGACGTGGTGGAGTCTCCATCCTTGGAGGTTTTTAAGGCCTGGCTTGACAAAACCTTGGCTGGGATGATGTAGTTGGGACTGGTCCTGCTTGGAGCAGGGTGTTGGACTAGATGTGACGTCTTGACGTCCCTTCCAGCCCTCGCCGTCTCTGATTCTATGATTCTTCCGCTCTGTTTAGCACTGGTGAGGCCTCACCTCTGAGAATTGTGTCCAGTTCTGGGCCCCACACTCCAAGAAAGATGGAGACAGATTGGAAAGAGTCCATTGGAGAACAACAATAATGATAAGAGGTCTGGGAAGCCTGTCTTATGAGAAAAGGCTGAAAGAACTAGGATTATTTAGTCTGTGAAAGAGAAGATGGGGTTGGGGGGGGGTTGCTAACAATCTTTATAAAGAGTCATTATAGAGAAGATGGAGATGAGCTTTTCTCTCTGGCTGTAGGGGACAGGACTAGATGCAATAGCCTTAAGCTGAAGCAGGGGAAATTTTCGTTGGAGATTTCCAAGGAAGAACTTTCTGACTCTGAGTGGTCAAGCATTTGGAACAGGCACCTAGAGAAATTGTGTAATTTCCATCCCTGGAAGTTTTCAGAAGCAGGTTAGACAGACACTTAGCTGGAATGGTTTAGTGAAGGATGATCCTGCCTTGGGCAGGGCTTTATGAGGTCCTAGATGACCTTATGAGGTCCCCTTCCAGCCCCACTTTTCTATGATTCTTTGACCTAACATGCACTTATTTTTCAGACAGTTATAGTAACAAGTAATGCTTCCCTTCATTAGTCAATCCAAAATAGTGTTTACTTTTACATGGAATGAGAGTATAAACTTGTCCTTGTTAAATAGCTATGTCCGCGATTTCCTGGAATACTTAGAATTATTGATCACAGATTTTTATTACAAGTGCAGTACAAAGAATGTGCTGCATTGGGATGTGCATGCTGTAGTAGTACCCACACCCAAAAGAACATCTCATTTGAATTGTGCCTTGAGTTCTAACAAAGGTTGTAGGTCATGTTGCTTTTATGTGACCTCTCATCAGGAGTTGCTGAAGCTCCTTAGAAGTACTGAGAGAGAGAGTCTTAGTGATTCGTAATTTAATTCTAGTTTCTTGTCTTACCAAAGCTGACTGCCAGGAGCCCTGGAGAAAGCAAAATTATTTTACTTGGCCCTTTTTCTAAATTACTGAGGCTTGGGTTCTTCTTGTTCTTTGTCCACAATATTTATGCAGTATGCATTTAAAGTGTTCGCTGCTTTGGCAAGAATGTATTTTACAAAAGATTATTTTATCCACTGAAAATTTGAGAACTGCTGGAGAGGATCACCTACGTCTGAGGGTTTTCCCAGCCTGTTTGCTGACCTCCATTTTTGTTCTTCACAGACTTTCACTCCTTTAGTAGATAAGCTGGGCTTAGGCTCTGTGGTTCCAGTGGAGTTTCTTCTGGACCGGCACCTGAGGTTCCTGTCTGATGCCAGTGGACTACGTCTTTTTCAGGTACTTGATTAAGTATGTTTAGAACATAGATTTCACTTTGCCCTGCTTGTCAGGATCACTCTTTCCAAATCAGGAAACCCTCCTTAAGTATTTTGGTTCTTGTTTTTCTGCTGTTGTAAAAATCAGTAGCATTTAGACCTTCTTCCATATTCAGAGTAAATGATTACTGTGGGAGTTGCAAAGCTGCTTCTGCAGGTCTTGATCAAGTTCTTGACATATTGAGAGAGGCTGCTTAGTTTTCTCTTGTTCGGGTGGAGGTCAGATGTTTTTCCCATAAGAGTCTCAGAACAAAGGTGCCAGCTTTATGTGCAATTTCTATCGTTGGAAGTTTTCAGGATGTAATGCAAAGTAGTGCAACTTTTCTGCTATCTACTGTCTTGGCATGAAGAGCACCCTGTCCAAGTTCCCAGATGATACCAAAATATGGGGCAAAGTTAGCATACCAGAAGGTAGGGAACAGATCCAGGCTGATCTGGACAGATTGGAAAACTGGGCAGAATGAAATAGGATGCAGTTCAACAAAGACAAGTGCAAAGTGCTGCACCTGGGCAAAAAGAACCACCAACACACTTACAGGCGGGGGGATGACCTTCTTTCTGCGGCTGTGCTGCTGAGGGATCTTGGAGTCATAGTTAACTCCAAGATGAACATGAGTCATCAGTGTGACACAGTGATCAACAAGGCTAACAGCACTTTATCATGTGTTAGCAGATGCTTGATGAACAGGTCCAGGTAGGTGATGCTTACCCTCTATACAGCATTGGTCAGGCTGCAGTTGGAGTACTGCATCCAGTTATGGGCATCACAGAGACCTGGTCGCTTTCTATGACCAGGTCAACAAATCCTTAGATGCAGGGGTAGCAGTGGACATAGTCTTTCTGGACTTTCGGAAGGCCTTCGACACTGTCTCACCCCGTTCTCAT